CAGGGGTTTAGCTTAGTGGTTCTGCTACCTGCCTTGCAAGTTCAAGGTCCCGAGTTTGATCCTTTGCAAGGCAGGCAGCAGAAACACTGAGCCAAATCCCCAGCCCACCCAAATGTTTTTAACAAAAAAGGAAGAACATTATAGAAGATATGTTCAATTTCGCCTGTTTTTACTGATTTCCTATATGAACTGATGGGCATTAGGGAGAAACCAAAGTCATTGGATTTGATACACACCTATGGAATAGTGAGAGCTTGAAATAGATGAAAGGCTTCCTAGAGAAACATGGGTCTTAGAATGGGGCGTTAATTTAGTTAATAAACGTTTTGAATTAAAAAAGAAATGCAGAACTCTTAAGCATATATCCCCTGAGTTTTGACTCACATCTGGCAGTCTTACAATCTGAAAGTGACCATGGGAGCCAATAAACATTTGCCTGAGATTTTAACTAAGACAGCAGGAAAGAGTAGTTCATTGAGCTTCAAAGGACAGCAGAGGAGAGGGACTGGAAAGGAGAGCAAAGGAGAAAAGGGTCCACATCCCACCACCCTGCCTGTTCAAGGTTATGATTACTTTGTACAGTGAATCCCTATATGGAGAGGAAGTACTCAGCCAGCATTGGCTCCTGTTACTATTGTGATTGCTATTATTCTTAGTATCTTCAGCTGCCTGGCAATCCTTTATCTTTTTTTTTTTTATTAGTCAGAGCTCTGTAGGAGAAGAGTGAATGGTAGAATCTAGGCACCACATGTAAGCTAACTGTTCTAACACTTCTGAAACTGAAACTATAAATGAAAAACAAAGACAGAGAGAGAAAATAATGAAGAGTGTATTTGTGAAAGTGAACCATCCCAGGGAGATGGCATGTTGCCTATCCAGTAGCTCTTCTCTCCTTCTTCAATGACAAAACACACTTCCATCCAGAAAGGTGAAAATTGTCCAGTTTTCGTTTCCCCACCTGTCCTACATCTGTGTCCTGTTATCTGCCCTGCCCATCACAGGCGCTGAGGGCAGAATGGTTTCAAGGCTCTGCTCCTTACATTCTGGTATAACACTCCTTGGGCACTATGGTTCAGCAGGTCCTAGAGGTAGCTCAGGTCACCCATCTAGAAGGTACAGATGGTAAAACATGGTGACACATGCACATTGCCATCTCCACAGGTGTGCAAAGTGCACAGGCTATAGGAGTGTGGCCACCTACACCTCAGTTTCAAAGGATGCTTCAGACAGCCTCGAGGTCCAGGCAGACAACTGCCTCAGGGTGAGCCACCACCGCATACCCTCACTAGGGCAAGGCCCAGCACCACCATTGGGACAGGGCCACCCCTATGACTCCAGAATGCTACAGCCACCACTGAGCATATCTAGCCTAGGAGATATGTGGACAAAAGACTCAATCCTGTAAAAGATGCAGAATAGAATGTACCCAGTAAAGTCACAGAGGCAGTGTTTCTAGAGCCCTGAGGACCTGATTTCAACCCAAGCATGTCTGCAAGGCAGGACATCGAGTCAAAGATTCTCTAGCCTAAGATTTAATCTTTTGTCCTGCCGAGTTTTGGGTTACTTGGGACCTGTCATTCCTCCCTCCTTCTCTTCACCCCTCCTTCCTTGCTGCTTAGAACACCCTAATCCATACATACAATTTATAACATTTATTATTGGTAATAACCAGTACATTTTCTGAAAACAATCTTGTTTGTTTTTCAAAGAAGATCCAACTATAACTATTATAAAGGAAACTGAAAGTGAGACACATTGGCACATGCCTATAATTTCAGCTACTCAGGGAGGTTGAGGCAGGAGGACTGCAAATTTGGGGACGGCCAGAGTAACTTAGCAAGACCCTGCCTTAAAATAAAAAGGGCTTGGGCTGTAGGGTACTTACCTAGCGTGTGTGAGGCCCTGGATTTAATCCCCAATTTTACACAAACACACACACACACACACGCACACACGGCAAAAACCTCAGAGTCTTCTGATTGATGGCAACACTTTTCTTTTCTTTCTTTCTTTTTTTTTTTTGTACCAGGGATTGAATTTAGGACCTTGTACTTGCAAGGTAGGTGGTGGCACCACTGAGCCAAATCCCCGACACTGATGGCAACAGTTTTCAAAACTGCTCAAGTGGCAAAATAGGAGTTGTTTCAAAGTAATGATTTTCAGTATCTATAAGTTTTCAATATCATCATTGCTATTTTCAGGCTCAAAATAACTTAGGAAGGAAATGGTTTTATTTTTAGCTTTTTTGGAGAAAGGGTTTCACTGTGCAGTTCAGGCTGCCTCTAACTACTGGTGATCCTCCTGTCTCAGTCACCAGAGTGCTGAGATTATAGGTGTGGGCCATTATGCCTGGCTATTTTTAGCTTTTAAAAAATTAGTGTGTATATAGCTAATTGGGGTCACCTAGAGAGTTACACAAAAGACATGTGAAATCTTGATATATTTAAGTCTATCATCCAAAATGGAACAATTTACTTGGCAGAACACATGGATTCATTATGTGTTCCCAGGATAAAGTCTCAAATTACAAATTCCCGATGGGGGGGGATTGGGTGTGATGGTGGTCATAGTAGTCAAACTGATTGGTAAATTTTTCAATTAATATTTAATATCCAATAAATATTTATTGAGTGCCAAAGTCTGTGCTGGATACTGGGAATATAGCAATAAGCTGACAAATTCTACCTCAAAGGAGTCCCCAGATTAGAAAGGAGGATGAAAAGTAACTAGGCAGTCATGATGCAAAGGGAAAAAATTTTTTTATGGGGATCATGTACAGAGATCTGTAAAAGCCCAGGGGAGTTTGTTCATCCAATTCAATTATTATTGAATATATTTATTGAGCATCAATGATGTGCTCCTAGGAACAGGGAAAACAATGGGGGAAATGACACAGTCTCTAGGTTTGTGTTGTTTTCTATCAAGTAGAAGAGAGGAATAAGTGAGCAGATGGTTATAGTTGCTAATTCTATCACAGGAGGGCACCTAAGAGGGCTGCTGACCTGAATTTGGGATGGAAAGAAGAGGGTACCTACAATGAGATGAGAAGGTGGAAAGGTAGGGAAGAATATTCCATATATCAGGGACAATGCTTTGCACCAGCACAGGAGCAAGAGCTTTTCCATGGCGAAGTCATTTCAAATGGCCAGAGGCAAAAACGAGGCAGAAAAGTAGGTTGCATAGTGAAGGAAGAAGGAATTGGCAAATGATAACCATAACCAGAGCCTGACACATCTCATAAACCATGTTGAGGAGTTTGAACTTTTTCTGAGATTAATAGGCAAAGAGCAGATTTCATCAAGAAAATGATCTCCAAAGTTCACCTCAGAAAATCACTGGCTGTCCTTTGGCAAGTGATGTGGAGGGTGAGGTGCCGTAGGCAGGAGTCCACTTAGGGTGCTGATCACGTTCTCCTGGCAACGGCTGGCAATGGCCTGACCTCAGAACTCTGAGGGAGATCTGGGAGTGGATTGGTGAGCTGCTTGGGAGGCATAGTCAACAGGTATTGGGGAGCACTGGGTGTGGGGTGGATAATTAATTTCTTATGGCGTAAGTTGAATTTGAGAGTCCTGTGGGGTGGCTAGATGAGATGTCCTGGAAGCAGCCCAGTCTGGAACTGGAGAGAGAAGTTTCAGCTGGAGTCTCTGATTTGGACCATTGAGCCCAGGGGCATGGGTGAGATTCCCCCAGGAGTATTTAGAGAGCAATGAGAACAGGGACAGGGAAAGAACTCTAAGGAAGGTCAGCTCCCAGAGACTGAGCACTAGTGAAAACTATGGATGGGGTTGTTAAGTTCCCTGAGGTCCCACTTTTTGGGGGGCACGGGGGAATCAAACTGGGGTCCTTGTGCTTGCGAGGCAGGAACCACTGAGCTAAATCTCCAGCCCTGTGAGCTCCCATCTTGAATGTACAACTGTTTAATGACACTGACCCCTGATTTTTCCTGGGGGGACCCTGCTTTCCTGTAGTCCTCTAGTTCACCTATTGCAATATGACACCTCTCCTGTAAACCAGAGGATAACTTTGTCTTTGTTGATTGATACAGTGCCACCTGAAAGCACAAGGCAAAAACATAGATAAGAACTTGATTCTCTGGAGCCAGGTTAATATAAGGGTACTGGAGTTTGGCTTGTGTATAGATGCAGTGGATTAATAAGAACGAGAAGCTTTCCTGCCCTGACAAACTCACCAAGTGACAAGTGGTCACTTGTGCACAAGAATGCTCGGCTGTAACTGCCACTCAGCCTTTCCATATAGAGGTATCGGGGTAGGGTGGGGGGACAAAAGAGAGTCAGATTGGCAAGGACTCAACTGGGGATGGGAGCTGGGAGGCTCTGCATAATCCAACACTAAGATTAATTATCATTTACAACCCCACAAACCAAGTGAATGAAAGTGGAGTGTTGAGAAATGAGTCGTTTCTCACGGGTTTGAGTGTGGAGCACAGTGGTCCACCCCATGGAAACTTCACCAACTGAAGAACCACAGGGGCTGACCCCTTAGTCCTGGGGGCTGAGCGTTGGTGTCTTTCCTCTTTTGCTGCAACCATCCGATCACTGAAACGTCTTTATCAAGGTTCAGGAAGTACTTATCTCACAAAGCTTCACAAAATTACCACTGGCTTTCAGGAGCGGACACTTTCTGAAGGCCAACCATTCTTGATACTTCTAATATAAGTTGTGTGAACTCTCTTCAGCATGCCAAAATGAAGAAATGCTTACTTTAGAATTAAGGTTTTGAGTATTTCCAGGGATTTCAACATCATCATAGTCATTTTCAGGCTCAATGTAGTTCAAAGTGGAAACAGTTTTCTTGTTTGTAGCTTTATTCACCAAAGAGTATGTAGCTGGGATTTCCTGTGGGGCTAGAACACACACCAAAAAACTCCTTACATGCAAAGCTTTTGTGTGATCATACATTTTTGATCAAGTGGTTTGGCATGATTTTTATGGTTTTTTTGTTTTATTTTGTTTTTTTTTGTGGTACTGGGGATCAAACTTGGGTCCTTGGACTTGCGAGGCAGGTGGCAGCACCACTGAGCTAAATCCCTGGCCATTTTTATGGATTTTGATGATTGTTTTACTTCCTAGTGGGCCAGATTCCCATTTTACAGAGAAAGGCCACGGGTCTCAAGATCACCCAATGGACTAAGTGACAAATATTTGTCAGATATCTTAACGCCCACGTGTCTGCCTCTGTCTACGCTGCCTGGAAACCATGAAGCAAATACTTGGAAAAGAAGCAGACCAGAGCCAGATGAGTACTGTTGTGTCTACAGATGCTGCTTCTTCCTTCCTCAGCTCAAATGCATGAGGAAATACTATGTGAGGACATTGCAAGAAGGAAACAAGTGAGGAAGAGAGCTCTCACCACAAACCAAATTGGCCAGCACCCTGATCTCAGACTTCCAGCCCCCAGAACTGTAAGAAAACAGTTTTTCTAATGTTTAAGACACCCAGCCTATGATATTTTTGTTATTGTAGCCTGGCTGGCCAAGTCACCTAGATAAATTTGTTATCCTATCCTGAATGAGACTACTATCAGCAAAATGTACTTACGGGAATTGCCTTGAGAAAATGAGCCCCTGGGTGGCAGAGGGGGTAATGGACTTGGTGACTGTACGTTCCTGGAGAAGAGAGAGAGAGAGAGAGAGAGAGAGAGAGTAAGTATTTGGGCTGGCTTGCTGTCAGCAGATTCACAAGAAAACATCAAGGAAAGTGAATGGGTTAAACATTCAAATCTTAGTCCCTACCAATTGAAAGCATTTCTTTTCCTATTAGATCCTGCATCACATATGTAACTGCCAACATAAAGAGACTATTTCCTCTTGCTCAGGGAATGGCTGAAATTGGGGGCAAGAAGTTGAAGCATTCTAATTCAGAGCATGGAACACACCCTCTGTGTTCACCTGAGCTGGATTAGGAGAGGGAGCTGTGTACCAGGTATATTTTTCAGCTTGCAAAATAGATATATCCCTGAAGTAGAACATAAACACACTCAAGATAGTAATATCTTGCTGAAATGTTTAGGTATGTTCACCAAAAGACATGTACTAAGATGTTCAGAGCAGCACTATTCATAATAATCCTGCTATAATGGATGTTGGCTGTCCCCCAAAGGGCTATGTGTTAAAGGCCTAGTCCCCAGCTTGGGTGCTACTCGAAACTTTAGGAGATGAGACCTGGTGGGAAGTCTTCAGGTCACTGAGATCATGTTATCCAAGGGGCTCATGGACCCTGCTCTCCTGCTCTTTCTTTTTGTTTCTCTCTGGCCAGGAAGTGAGTACTTCTGCTCTGTTCTACACTGTCCACCATGATGCACTGCCTCACTATAGGCCCAAAAGCAACTGGGCCAACTCAGCATGGACTGGAACTTCCAAAGTTGTGAACCAAAATAATTCTTTTATCTTTATCAGCTGATTTGCAGGTATTTGTTACAGTAACAGAAACTGACTAATACAAGCCCCAAACGGCATGACTTATGTTAGCCTGGGTTCTCCCGAGAAACAGAATCACCACACTACCTGAATGCTCACCAGCAGAATAGCAGATAAACTAATCATGACCTACGCCCGCAGTGGAATATGCCGTAGCAATGATATGGTCTCTGATTGATGCCTTTTTTGTTGTTTCTCTGGGACTTTAGGGGACCTTAGGGGATACTGATATCCATTTGCCCCTTGGAGGGGCCGAAGACTTAATAGCCAAAGATCAGTCACATGGACATTCTAGGCCCACATGAGTAGCCCTTGGTGAAGCCTTGACTCCAACAGTCAGGCGAGCTTCTCTGGTTGGCAGTGCTTCCCATGTGTCATCACAAACTGTTGCTGAGAGAATTAATGGTATCTGTGGGACCGTGAGGGAGGACAAATGATGGTTCGTGTCTGGGTTCACCAAGACTTCACCCTCTGTTCTTTTTTCTTTGTTGATTTCAGCCTGTATCCTTTGGTCATAGTAAGTTGTAACCATGAATGTAATAACTTTTGGGTTCCCTGAGTTTCTCTAGGGAGCTAGCAAGCCTAAGGTTGGCCTTCAGGATCCCCAACACAGGTAGAATCATAAAGCCCTAAATAGATCACACAAAAGTAAAGCAAATGCTAATATTTTCACTCAGCACAATAGCTTTTGGAGGACTATACTTTTAAAAAACTTAAGACATAGACTGACAGTGGGCCCAGAACACAGAGCTTGGCCTGTGACTTCTGTCAAAGTGACGAGGGGCATTGGTGAGCAGAGAGGCCCAGATAGTGCCCCACACCCACAACATCCTGCGACCTCTGTCCTTAAGTGGGAAGGCTTGGCATATACATTTTTCCAGCTCCACAGGAAATGTGGGCATCTCAGTCACACAGGAACAGTGGTGTGGAGGTGGGGATAGAAATAGGTGGTTCTTAAAATTAAGTAGTAGAAAAATTTTCCCTACTTACTCATACATCTTTTCTTCTTCTCTTTGGTTTTGTTTCAAGGGCTTGGCAATTTTCCATTTCTTGCCTGGGAGAGAAAACCATATTCATTTAGGATGAAGTAGCAAAAATTATGGATGTAGAGTTTAGAAGTCCTCAGAAACCAAGTAGTCCCAGACATTTGGAATAAGAACGCCCAGAGGGAACATACATAGGAAAACAGAGCTCACAGATGATAGAGCTGGCATCTGAACCCAGGCCATTTGACCACAGGGTGTAGGCATTAACTCACTGAGAGCAGCAACCATGTGGGTTGTGTTTCTTCATTGCCTAGGACTATGCCCAGTGTTTGGTGGGCACTAAAAAATGTAGGTATGTGAATAGCTAAAAGTGGTTAGGAGAAAATGAGATAAAGATTCAGAAGAGCATGAAGGGAGGGCATGGGTGTGGGGAAAAAATGAGAACCAAGACCTGTCATGTAAAGGTACAGGATCCCAATAATGAATGTAACTGTACTGTATACCTAAAAAGTACCAATAAACTCGATGAGAAAAAAAAAAAAAGATTCAGAAGAGCAGATTGCAAATTGTGATGTGTTGGACATAATCATTATTATTAATTATAATCTGCTTGCTTTTTATGGGTGACTTATGATAAAAGAAGTTAAATGTGATTTTTGTTTAGGGTCATACTTTTGTCCATATCTCAACATAAAATTTTTAAAAAGCAAATGGAGGGGCCAGGGATTTAGCTCAGTAGCACAAGGTCCCAAGTTTGATCCCTGGTACAGGAAAGAAAGAAAGAAAGAAAGAAAGAAAGAAAGAAAGAAAGAAAGCAAGCAAGCAAGCAAGCAAGCAAATGGATATAGGGCTATAGGGGTCAATAATATAGTTTTTTTGTTTGGTACTGGGTATAGAACTCAGGACCTCGTACTTGCGAAGCAGGCAGCAGCACTGCTGAGCTAAAATAACCACCCACACCTACCTCTCCCTGCCCAGGTGCGATGGTCATTACCTTGTTTAAACTTCCATCTGTAGACACAGCACAAGAGGAAGCCTAGGACCAAGGAGACAACAATGATGGCCGCAGCTAAGATGATCCAGAAATAATTTCTAAACCAACTCATTGCAATGGAATCCTAGAGAATGGAAACAGAAAAAGGAGGCATGAACAAAACATATCTGGAGTGGTGGTAAGGCCTGTTATCTACCATGTTGTGTAGAGATATGGGCATCTGCATATGATCAATCAGGCTCCTGTTCATAGTCACACCCTATGGATTAGCAGGTAGGGGACCCTGCAAGTTGCTAAACTTTCTCAGATCCTCAGCGTCTCCATCTGTAAGGTGGAAATGACACTGTTTACAATATCACAGGGGTTTGGAAGGATTAGAGACAAGATATAGATATATGAAGGCCCTGGTTCTATCCCTAGTAACACATACATGCACACATGCACATATGCACACACATGTCCCAAGTTCCCCACATTCTAAGACCAGAGAAACTGCCTTTTTGTCACCTCCTTCTCCATGGACTGCTGAGAGAGGCCTTTCCACAGAACTGAGGAGAGCATGTCTTCTTGGGAGAGTGAAGCTGAGAGAGGGAGCTCAAAAGAAACACATTCCGTTTCCAGCTAGTTACCCTTTAGGACATATGCTAGTTTGAGGGCTGAGGCGCAAGCACAAGGTCCTGAGTTCAATCCCTGGTACCAAACAAATAAAATATGTAGTCTTATAGTTCTGGATGTTAGAAGTCCATGTAACTCTTACCCGTAAGGCTAAAATTAAAGTTTCGGCAAGACTGTATCCCATGGGAAAATTGATCTTCTTGTCTTTTAGGGTTCTATAGGCTTGCTGCCTTTCCCCCATCTTTTTTTTTTCCTGGACCAGGAATTGAACTCAGGGCCTTGTGCTTTTTTTTTTTTTTTTT